TAGCTTAGAAATGACATCAGCATGAAGTTGGTTGCAGCTTTTTCATCTCACCCTGTACATGTTTTGGCAAGTTTAGTTTAAATTGTGGGAACCACTTTTTTAAGTTTTTCCCTACTGTTCATACCTTTCGTGCATTTCTGTGGAAGTTAAGCAATAGCTTAATTAGGCAAAGTTTCGAAGATCATTTTGTGTACCATATTCCGAAATTTGTTATAATTGAATATATAGGCTTTTATATCCCAGCAGGTAATATCTGCTTATTTTTCGATAAGATTTTGAATATGGAACTTCCTTCCTTCCTTCAGGTTTAACACCCTGTTTTCGTATGACGATACGACAGAGAACCACAATTCCAAATGAATTATTATTATTATATTTTTACTTCTATTATTACTTTTTTGATGGGATTTATTTGATTTTAAGTCTAGTCCAAGTTTTTCAATATTCTACTGGAAGAATTTTGAAACTTCTATGAGAAGACCTTAAGTTTTTCTATGAAAACCATATTGTCTTACTAGGAAGATGTTTTTCATCAATGAAAAATATACATTCTTTGTCAAAGGTCTCCAAAACACTTAAAAATTCTAAGTAACCCGCAATAGTCCTTATCGCCGCATCATAAATACATATTTCGCACATTATTTCCACTACTTGTGTTGCTGTGGTCATGTGAAAATGTTTTATTTTATTTTCTTTTCGACGACATTGTTTTGTTGTTGTAACATTTTCATCATCGTCGTCGTCGTCGTCGTCTTCTTCTGCTTTTTTGTTGTTGTTTATTATGTGCGAATAAATTTTCACTTTTATTTCAATTTTCTCAAACTCAAGCAACACGGTATTAACTTGGTGACGACGATCGCTGTATACATGTAGACTATATCTTCGACGTCTTCAATTTGTGTTGTATATATTGTTTTTGAAAATTAAAATTTCCGATTTTGCCTTTGATGAAATTAGAAAACACCTTGGGTTTTTATAGCTGAAATATTTCTACGTTATTCTGACACAATGTCCTCTGACTATACGTCAGTTGGCTGTACTCACTAATTTTGCTTGAGTGAATAGTTGTTGTAGTTATGAAATATTAAATAGTTGTTTCTTTCATAATTTGGCATTTAATTGGATTTTTTTTAGGTGTAGAAAGAATAATAAAATATGCAAAGGAAAAATGAAAGAGACCAAAAATACGTCAAACGTTTTATTTTTTTTTATAGAAAAAGTAACAAATTCATATATGTTTTGTGGGAGCAAAGTCTACTCTTTGAATAGAGAAGCAAATATCCGCGCTTTATGAGCCATGTTTAAGGGGATATGATCAAGAATGTTCTGACTTTGTCAATCATAAAAAATTATGGTCACAAAAAATATGTCCATAGTCAATCGTTGCAATATTTCACCTAAAATTTTCAGCTGACCTCTTTGGCAAGTAAACACGATCATTTTGTTCGCTGGACAACGTGTCCTTCCGTTCTCTTGTAGTTATGAAATATTAAATAGTTGTTTCTTTCATAATTTGGCATTTAATTGGATTTTTTACGTGTCGAAAGAATAATAAAATATGCAAAGGAAAGATGAAAGAAAATAAAAATCCATCAAAAGTTTTATTTTTTTTATAGAGAAAACAACAAATACTTATATTTTTTCTCGGAGCAAAGTCTGCTCTTTGAGTAGTGAAGCAAATACCCGCGCTTTATGAGCGATTTTTAAAGGAATATGAAGAAGTATGTTCTGACTTTGTCAATAATAAAGGAATTATAGTCACAAAAATATGTCGATAGTCAATTGTTGCAATATTTCACCTGAAATTATTGAACTGGAAATAATAAAAAATTAGAGAAAATCACTTTTTTAGTTCTGCTCTTTGTCTCTCTTTCTCTCTCTCTCTCTCTCTCTCTCTCGCATTCAAAAACTTAGTAATTACTCATAACGTTTCTTTAACTGAAATCCAATTTCCACCCTTGGCGTATGATTAACACATGAGTTATCCGTTATTATTATAATTGATCATACGCCATGTGTACAGATGTTTGTTTGACAAAATAAAAAATCACTTGGAAATGTTGGTCTCTTAAAAAACCCTTATGACGTGCTAAAATTTTAAAGAATATTTCGGAGCATATCCAAGGCCCAACGCCGTAAATTGTTCAAGTTTTTTTTTTTTTGATTTGATTTTTTCTGAAGACCAGAATTCTCTTTATTCAAACAATTCCTTTAGCTTTTTCAAAGAACGAGGTCGTGGCCTTTTTTACATTTTTAGACTCTTATAGGACCCAACTGGAAAATTGCATTTGGTGCTTTTCTCAAGAAGTAGGCACCATTTTTAAGGCTCCTCAAGGCCACAAATCATGGCATTTAAAAAAGCCCGAAGGTGTGGATTTTTCTAGGATCTTCCAAGGCCTGAAGCTGTAATATTGTTGATTTTTTCTGAAGTTCAGAATTCTCTTTATTCAAACAATTCCCTTCGCTTTTCCAAAAAACGAAGTCGTGGCCTTTTTTACTATTTTAGACTTTTCTAGAACCCAAATGAGCGATTTTTTTGGATAAATTTTCTACGCTCCCACAGCAGCAAAGATCAAGACCCTCTCATGTAAAAGGCAATTCTGTTAGGCCTTCTTTGGAAAATGGCATTGAGTTTTTCTCAAGACGTAGGTACCACATTTAAAGGCTATTCCAAGACCACAAGTTGTGGCATTATAAATAAATAAATTTTTGAAATAATTTTCCTAGGTTCTTCGAAGGCCCAAAACAATTAGCATTTTCTAAGGGCCAGAACGATGATTTTTTGGACTCTTCTAAGAGCCTAACAATTTTTTTCTTAAACATTTCCCTTTGGTCTCTCCAAAAGAAAAATGTGTGGTTTTAATTTTTTTTAGGCTGCCTAAGCTCGCAAGTGAGTAAATTTTTAGAAAATCTTTCGAGGCTTCTTGAATGCCCAAGGCATGGACTTTTTTGATCGTTTTCTCAATTCTTCTGAAGACCAATGTCATCGATTTTAAATTTTTTCGAATTCTCTCAATTATTTTAAAGAATTTTTCAATTTTAATTTCTCCTTGGCTCTTCGGCAGGAATTTTATACCCTCAGCGAAATGCCTCATCATAATACCGGCTTTAACCCTAGGTTTTTTTTGGACCAAATCCATTTCAAGATATTTGTAATCGATCTAGCGATGGCCGTCCGTCCGTCTGACTGTCTGACTGGCTTGTGCGCACGATAACTCTCGAAGGGAGTATTCAAGTTGGTCCAAACTTCGTACATCGTAATATTATTATAAAACTTAGATCGAGTTCGGAGATGGGCAATATCGGTCCACTCCTTCTGGTACCAGCCCCACAAAAGTTCGAAATATTCACAAAAAAAACAAAAAAAAAAAAAAAAATAGAAAGGGAAAGGTTAATCCGATTTTGCTCCAACTTTGGAAATAATAATATTTGCATCAGTGCTAGGTCAAGTGCGAAAATGAACAATATCGGTCCACTCAATCAAATGGTCAAAATTTTAAATAATTACAACTCTCATAAAATGTGATGTAAGAATCCGATTGTCTTCAAATTAACAAACAAATGGGATATATCGGTGCACTCCTTCTGGTACCTCCCCCACAAAGGGTCAACATTTGGAACATTCATGAGGCTTCTTAAACGCGAAATGAGCATATGTTTGTTTTCATATTTGGTACATCTCAATATTTCCATCAATATAAGATCTTTAAAAAGATGGTTGAGATCGGAGCATTCCTATTGGTACCTCCCCCACAAAGTGTCAAAGTTTTGAATAACCAAAACGATTATAAAATACGAAATAAGCTGCCAGTTCTCTTCATATTTCACATATCCCATTATTTCTACTAACACAAGATAGGTCCACTCCTTCATATTCATGAAGCTCATAAAACGCGAAATTAAAATCCGATTCTATCAACACAAAATCTGTTATAAACATGGTAGAGATCGCACCATTTATTCTGGTACCTCCCCCACAAAGTGTCAAAGTTTTCAATAACGAAAACGGTTATAAAATCCGAAATAAGCTTCCGGTTCTCTTCAAATTTCACACATCCCATTATTTCTACTAACACAAGATCTTCTAGTACCTCCCCCAAAAAGAGTACACTTTTTTAATATTCATGAAGCTTATAACACTCGATATGAACATCCGATTCCATTCAAACTTGACACATCTCAATATTTCTGTCAACACAACTTCACACAACATGGTAGAGATCGGGAGGCAAAATAGTAAAACCGATCAAACCGACAGATAATTTTTAACTTGTTCTTCATAATTTTACTACGATAACCCAAATGTTTTAGAGCATCTTTCTGGGCCGGGTTTAAGGTCCAAGGTATGGATTTTCTGAAGCCTAATAATTCAAAACATTTAAGATTTTTTTCGACGCTTTCTGGATTCTTTTTAAGAAGCATTTCAATTTTTTTTTGCAAGAATTTTCGGTGGTCTTCTTGGGAGGACTACCATAGATTCTTGATATGATCATGTTGTTCTGATTTCCTGAAGACGAAGTTTATCTAAGTTTTCTACTGAACTCCATGAAATCTTCAGTAGAAAACATCTAGAAGCTTCCCATCTATAGCAGAAAGCATTTTAGTCTACTTTACGGAAAAATACTTTAGATATTGATATAAATTCTGTTGTTTCCTTGAGAAAATTCTTCTGATCCTCTTTCAAAGATCTCCTTGTCTTCTCGTGGAAAATACATTTTACACGATATTCAGATGTAATTCGAAACATTTTAATGGCATATTTAAAAATTTCAATTATATATCATTTGTTATTCTTTATATAGACTTTATAGAGTAACCTTCAGGAATATTAAAACTCTTCTCTCCATTCAAATAATTCGTGAATTATTTGTTCTTTAAAATTTGTATTTTCGTTATATAAATTAGCCATCAAATAAAATTCATAAAAAACTCCCTTTTATCCTTCCCAAATCCTCCGAAACCCGTCGTGCCAAATAAGTTCCCATTGGCGTATGAGTAATCCATTAGTTATACGTTTCTTTTATTTATATTACTCATACACCGCACTCCAGATAATTGGAATACCAAGCAATTAACAGGCAAACTATAAAACAAAACAAAATTCTTCGTAATTCTTATTAAATTAAAATATCTGCAAATATTTCTCAAGCAAACATTCATTACTCACTCCTGCCAACGAATAATTTAACCTCATTTTTTTCATTTTCTCAATTAAAATTCAAAAGTCAGCACTTTCTTCTGAATGAAACGTTCTCGCAGCAGCGTTCATACCTGAAAGCAACACCTGCATTGCTTTTGTTCATCCGTGTTCGCTTTGTTTATTTTTTTTTTTTCGTTCTTCTGTTAACTTTTGGCGTCAAACGAAAATTAAACAATGCGCCGAGGCCTCGACGAAATACATATTTTTCTAAATTTAACATAATTAAAAGAAAATTGGAATTATAATTATTTCAAGTGCTCTAAGAAACAAAAATACGAACTAAAATAAATAAATAACAATAACAATAACAACAAGAAGAGAAGTGTTGAATTAATACAACTGTGTGTGTGTGTGTGATAAAAATGTGTGGGAAGTAAAGAAAGCAAAAGCAAAGTAAAATAAATACGAATCGCAAACAAAAATGTAAGAAAGTGAAAAATAAATATTGTCCGCACCCCAAGAAGCCGAACAAATCAATAATGCCGCCGGTGACCCTGAAAGCAAAGAACTAATCCCCATTACCCTCCTCACCTTCGAATTTGAATTATTAAAAAAAAACACAAAAAGTGCCTCACAAAAAAATATGGATGATAAACCTCCACCCAATCCAACGAACTCCAAATCTCAATACAATGCCGACAAACAAACCGAAGCCGGGGCCGGTGCTGCCGGCATTACAAATCAAGAATTTCGTCAAAATCATCCCCAACCTCAGGCAACACGACCACCTCCTATGCCCCACGAGCTAACGGCCGAATGGACGGTGAGAGCTCAACTGCGTTTTGCCCGGGCTGGCGAAACGGTGCGCAAAGATTTTAGCACAAATGATCCCATAAATCCCGTACGAGTTGTATACAAATGGACCACACTGGATGCAGATGGCGCGGAGGTGCCGCAACATTCTCAACACCAGGATGATGATGAAAAGCACTCAAATGTTTTTAAACGCAATTCATCACGTTCATCGGGCTACTCTCATGATCCGGCTAAGGTAAGTTTGGTTGCGATTTCTTCGCGTGGGGAGAAATTTTCAAAGAAAATATTGGACTGCAAAATAGGGGCATAAACTTTTGGAGCCTTTAGGAACATTTCAGAAGCTCTTCATCAGAAAATGATTTTCTAGGATAAGAAAAAATAAGCTCTTATCCTATAGCTCTTCTCAGAGAAGACCTATAGCTCTTCTCGAGAAGAGCTGAAGGTCTTCTTTAGCTCTTCTCTGAGAAGACCTTTAGCTGTTCTCTGAGAAGACCTTTATCTCTTTTCGGAGAAAAACTTCTGCTCTTCTCTGAGAAAAACTTCTGCTCTTCTCTAAGAAAAGCTTCAGCTCTTCTCTGAGAAAAGCTTCAGCTCTTCTCTGAGAAAAGCTTCAGCTCTTCTATGAAGAAGAAGACCTCTTCAGCTCTTCTATGAAGAAGAAGACCTCTTCAGCTCTTCTATGAAGAAGAAGACCTCTTCAGCTCTTCTATGAAGAAGAAGACCTCTTCAGCTCTTCTATGAAGAAGAAGACCTCTTCAGCTCTTCTATGAAGAAGAAGACCTCTTCAGCTCTTCTATGAAGAAGAAGACCTCTTCAGCTCTTCTATGAAGAAGAAGACCTCTTCAGCTCTTCTATGAAGAAGAAGACCTCTTCAGCTCTTCTATGAAGAAGAAGACCTCTTCAGCTCTTCTATGAAGAAGAAGACCTCTTCAGCTCTTCTATGAAGAAGAAGACCTCTTCAGCTCTTCTATGAAGAAGAAGACCTCTTCAGCTCTTCTATGAAGAAGAAGACCTCTTCAGCTCTTCTATGAAGAAGAAGACCTCTTCAGCTCTTCTATGAAGAAGAAGACCTCTTCAGCTCTTCTATGAAGAAGAAGACCTCTTCAGCTCTTCTATGAAGAAGAAGACCTCTTCAGCTCTTCTATGAAGAAGAAGACCTCTTCAGCTCTTCTATGAAGAAGAAGACCTCTTCAGCTCTTCTATGAAGAAGAAGACCTCTTCAGCTCTTCTATGAAGAAGAAGACCTCTTCAGCTCTTCTATGAAGAAGAAGACCTCTTCAGCTCTTCTATGAAGAAGAAGACCTCTTCAGCTCTTCTATGAAGAAGAAGACCTCTTCAGCTCTTCTATGAAGAAGAAGACCTCTTCAGCTCTTCTATGAAGAAGAAGACCTCTTCAGCTCTTCTATGAAGAAGAAGACCTCTTCAGCTCTTCTATGAAGAAGAAGACCTCTTCAGCTCTTCTATGAAGAAGAAGACCTCTTCAGCTCTTCTATGAAGAAGAAGACCTCTTCAGCTCTTCTATGGAGAAGACCTCTTCAGCTCTTCTATGAAGAGGAAGACCTCTTCGGCTCTTCTATGAAGAGGAAGACCTCTTCGGCTCATCTATGAAGAGGAAGACCTCTTCGGCTCTTCTATGAAGAGGAAGACCTCTTCGGCTCTTCTATGAAGAAGAAGACCTCTTCGGCTCTAATATTTTTATTAGAAGGCTAAAGAAAAAATCCATAAAAAGGGCTCCTTAAAGCCGTGCTTAGACATTTTGAAAGAAAATAATTTTTCCCGCTGCATTCCAATATTTTATTTTTGTGAAAATTTCCCCCCTACCTTGAACAGCTGAGTGTTGTCTGTATGCGTTCCGCTTGATTGAGGAATCTCCCCCAAATATTTCAGACTACTAAACCTTCAAAAATACCTCAAAAACAGGAAAGTTTTCGTTCGACAACATCATCGACAACGGGTTTTGGGGGTGGAGATTCGGCCTTTAGTGGTTCGAATACCTCACATCACAGGGCCAGAGCTGAGGGGAATTCGACGGAGTCCAACAAACCCTATTATGGTACCCGGTGTCGCAGTACTTGCAATATTATTGTATCGGCTGTGGCAGACTTTTTGCCGCCCCCCGGCAGTAATGGAGACGGCGCTGATGTTGATGGGGGTGCTGGAGGAGAAGAAGGCCAGCATCATATGCGGCGGCAGTTTGTACGTGAAGAGGAACCCGATCCATTTGTGTTTAATACCACGGCCTGTTATACCGTTTTGCCCGAAAAGGTAGGTCATTTTGTTGTTGGTGTGAAGAGAAAGAGAGAGAGAGAGAGAGAGAGAGATGAAGAGAGGGGTGTAACGAGGAAACACTTTTCTCGTGCGATATTTTGTGAATTGATGGCCACTTAATTGTCAGCATTTTCTGGTTGATTTATGATTTCTTAAATATGAATTTAGTTAAAACAATTTTCCTTTGATTTGGTGCCGCTCCGTTGAGTCACGCACGCCAATTTTTCCTCTCAAAGCAGCATCGCCATTTTAATAATCACTAAATTATGTGACATGTTTTAAACTATTCCAACACGCCGACGAGAGGCCAATTAATTCTGTCACTTTCAGTTTGGTGGTCGTAAGCAAATTAACGCCACGAGATTTAAGTAATTTGTGGTGTGATGCCTCCCGACCCCTGAGTTTTGGGATCGACACTTGTTTGTCCCAAAGACCAAATTTTCTTTTCCTCCTTCTCCTCCCTCCTGTTGCTTTGGCTTGGCGGGGTTTGGGTGGGTTCAGTGATGATAATGCTCCAATAAATCATGCTGCCCAGTCCGGCACTCGATGTCCATTCTCACTTCCCAAAAAAAAGAAAAAAAAAACAATGGTGGCCCATGTATGTCTTGTTTATTTGTTGGCCAATTTCGTTTTGTTCGCAGCTATTTTTAAATATTTGCGAATCACGCCGATGAACGTCGTGTGCACAAAATACTCACTGCCAATCGTCATGATGCGGCTAATGCCATTTATAGGTCATTCACATGGGATAGAAAAATAAATGGCTTGGAAGCGAAAAGTGTTTCTTGGCAGCGCTGCACACCCTCCCCCTCTCTCTCTCTCTCCATTTAAGGTTTTATTATAATCGTCTCTATTAACCATAATTTCTCTTTTTTTGGGCCAGTCCTTTGATGAGGACTCATGTCCCCAGACTCCAGTATCAAAGACAGGGAAAATCCTAAACCTAAAGGATGCCGTCTGCCAGACCAGTGACACCGAAACGAAATATTTCGAGGAATATGAACACAAACGTTTCAAGCAATCACACAGCCCCCTGGAGCGAAGGGACTCCCGGCGTTCCTATGATCACCGAAGGGCCACCGCCGAGGCATTACTGCAAGCACCCAATCGATATGGAAGTGGCGCCCACGAGGGAAACACATTTATGGTAGGTTGACAACATTGGTAGCAAAAAAAAACGCATTTTCTATTTCAGAGCAGCTAAAAAATGTTCAGGGAAATTGGAAAAAAATCGGATTTTTTTTTTTGGCGATATATAATTCAACCCCTTTTATACCCTCATCCAGGTGGCTAGAGAGGGTATATTTAGTTTGATACGGCCAAAATGAGACTCATCGTAATAACGGTTTTTAGATCCTAGGTCTCGTCTCTTTGTAACAAAACCGTTTCAGGATATTTGGAGTTGATCTAGCGATGTCCGTCCGTCCGGCTGTCTGGCTCGTGGGCACGATAACTCTCGTAGGGAGTATCCGATTTCGTCCAAACTTGGTAAATCGTAATATTTTTACAAAACTTACTTCGAGTTTGGAGATGGGCAAAATCGGGGCACTCCTTCTGGTACCTCCCACACAAAAGTTCGAAATCTTAATAAATATTCTACTGCACACGAAGAAAATGGATAATCCGATTCTGGCTCAACTTTGCAAATCTCAATATTTGCATCAGTGCCAGATCAGTTGGGAAAATGGAAAAAATCTGCCCACTCCATCAAGTACCTCCCCCACAAAGGGTCAAAATTTTGAATAATTATACCTCTTATAAAATGTGATGTATGAGTCCGATTGTCTTCAAATTCCACACATCCCAATATTTTTATTAACCCAAGTTCTGGTGTGAAGATGGAATACATTGGTCCACTCCTTCTGGTACCTCCCCCACATAGGGGTCAAAATTTGGAATATTCATGAAGGTTATAAAACGCGAATTTAAGATCCGATTCCATTCCGACTTGGTGTATCTCAATAATTCCTTCAACACAAGATCTGTTATAAAAATGGTAGAGATCGGACCATTCCTTCCGGTACCTCCCCCACAAAGGGTCAAAGTTTTGAATAACCAAAATGATCATAAAATCCGAAATAAGCATTCGGTTCTCTTTGTATTTTACACATCTCATTATTTCCACCCACGCAAGATCTAGTGTGAAGATGGCATATATCGGTCCACTCCTTCTGGTGCCTCCCCCTCGAAGGGGTCAAATATTTGAATATCCGTGAAGCTCATAAAACGCGAAATTGACCTCCGATCGCATTCAGACTTGGCACATCTCAATATTTCTATCTATAACAAGGTCTGTTATGAAGATGCCAGAGATAGGACCATTTCTTCTGGTACCTCCCCCACAAGGGTTATAGTTTTGTATAACCAGAAAAACAATCATAAAATCCGAAATAAGTATCCGGTTCTCTTTATATTTCACACATCTTATTATTTTCACTAATACACGACCTGCTGCGAAGTTGGAAAATATCGGTCCACTCCTTCTGGTACCTTCCCCACAAGGGGTCAAAATTTGGAATATCCATGATGCTCATAAAAAGCCTAATTACCATCCGATTCCATTCAGACACATCTAAATATTTCTATCAACACAAGATATGTTATAAATATGGTAGAGATCGAACCATTCCTTCTGGTACCTCCCCTACAAAGGGTTAAAGTTTTGAATTAACAGAACGATTGTAGAATCCGAAATAAGCATCCGGTTCTCTTCATATTTCACACATCACAATATTTTTACTAAAACAGGATCTGCTGTGCAGATGGAAATTATCGGTCCACTCCTTCTAGTATCTCCCCCACAATGGGTCAAAATTTTGAATACCCAAGGAGCTCATAAGAGGGGAAATTAATATCGAATTCCATTCAGGCTTGGCACATCTTTTATGAACTCCTAAATACCGTTTTCTTAGCTGCCCTGAAAAAGGAAAAAATCTTTGTTATCTACTGTAAATTAATCGAATTCTTTCCCACCCACATTTAGCCTTCGTATTTATCCTCGCCCACCAATCCACAGGCATTTAAATCGGCATCTATGCCACGCATACCCTCCACCGAAGGCGAAGATGTGTCCATGGGTGCTAATTTTGGGCCCCTGGGGTCTCTGCCGGCATTCATGGCCTCCAACAAGACAATGCAATCCGGCACCGATGGTCAAAAAAAACCTCGCACCGTACACATAGATGTCTACTGTACCGGTTCCGAGGATGAAGATCATGCCGATGCTGAATCAAGTTCCGAATCAGATGATAATCGACGACATGATCAGGAATCCAATTCGACATTTCAAACTGTGCTGGATAATGAGCAAATGCGTTTGAGGCATCAGCGAATGAGCGGTGGAGCCTTGCCACGAAGACTGGCCACCAATCAGCAGCAGCCGCATCAACAACACCACCCTCATCAACAACATCCGAAATTTTCTTCTGAACAAAACTCCTCTTCGCGTCCCAGTGACCCTGCAAGTCCTCTCATATCTGGCGACTTGCAATTGGGCCATGGCATTACGAAATCCAGCACCACGGAAGAGGTCAATGAATCCAAGCACATTCTCTTCCGCAAACACATTGGTGACCAAAGGGCTATTAAATTGGCCAATTTAAGGCAAAAATATTTGCGGCAATCCTCCGAGGATGTGGCCAGTTTGGGTTATCCCAGTTCCACAAGGTCCACAGTGCTTGACAATACCTGCAGCAGCATGTCCAGCGTTTTAGCGGGGCATGATGTTACCGATTCCCACTGGAGGGAGACGGCGGAGGATAATGAAGATTATTCTCTAACCAAATCGGAAAGCTTTGAATATGAAAATGCCTTGGATCGTTTGAGAATCCGGCAAATGGAACGCCTGTGGTCCAGGAGTCATTCAAAGGAGGAAGAAGCTACTCAGCAAAATCAACAAATGTCCCATCAAACTCATCATCAACATCCGCATGCGGGGCCACATTTGCAGACAATTGCCGAAAACAATAACAACAATCATAGAAGTCTACAGCGGGATGATACTTTGCCCTCCGAATCGGATTTCAATTCTGAAACTGACCACTTCTATAGCTATCCTCTACAAACAATGCAACATCAACCCCAACCGCGCACCAATTCGCCTGCATTTCAGCAAACCCAGCATTTTGCCAAAAATCGTCCCGGATTTTTACATTTCTTTGGGCCCCAAAATGAAAACCAGCTACATCCGCCGCCACCACCACCGGACCAACCAATGTCAGCACCCATAGAGGGCTCACTGCTCTATCCCAACTATCAGCCCAGTTTGCAGAGATGGAAAAGTGAGACACGTGAAAATCTCTCCACCTCTGGCACTCCGGCCCTAACACCAACCGAACTGAGTCGTCACACCTCACCACAACCTCCAAGTTTTCAACGCAGCGGCAGTGAGGCTCCACCCTCAACCACCAGTGCCAGCACCTTTCCCACAGCCACTCCCACACCGGCCAGACGTTTAGATTTATATCAAACCTATCGACAAAGTCCGGCCATGAGTGAGGCCTCCACTGGGCTGCCACCACCCGGTTACTCCTCGGAATATTTGGATAAGGCCAGTAAATTTGGCAAAGTTGTGGCTGCCCGCAAGCCAGGACATCATGTTGGACCCACGAAAAATCCCAATTGTTCCTGTGAAAGTTGTCAACGTTGGTTGGCCGAACGTTTTCAGGTTCGAGGTCGTGCCTTTTCGCTGGGCGAATCACCGGTGCTGAGGAAAACCAAATGAGAGGCGGCTACCCTTAGCTAACATCCAACGATACCGCCACTGCCATAAGGAATACAAAATTGAATTTCTAAGTCCTATTAACCACATTTTGTGCATTTACCAGCATCCGTCTTTATTTAAATGTTTGAAAATTAAAATAAAAATATATTTTTCAAAAAATATAAACAAATCCAAAAAAATTAAAGGTTAATTAAACGCCTAGCTTAGAGTCTTAATATAATTATTTAAAAATGTAATAAATAAAAAAAATAAATATAAAAAATGTGAAATAAAAATTTTCATTATTTAATTTAAAAAAAAATGTGTGTAAATTGATCCCTGGGCAATACGAAAAACCACCTGTATTTCGTCCGTATCCTGACAAAAACAAGTATCATACCTTATTACTCCAAGGGCGATTTTTAGCTTTTTAGCATATAAGCTTTTATATTTTGCGACGAACGCAAAAGTATTTATTTTTTTATTTATGGGTTTTGGATAGTTCGGATAACGTTAGAGCTAAAACGCTTGGATAAAGGAATAATGCTTACAAACCCTTTTTCTGGGGCTGGATATAGATTTTTTTATTACTCGGATGCAACAAAGTCAAACGCCATAATTTTTACATTTTTTCAATTTTATTGAATAAAAGCAAAAAACGTCGGAAATAGCATGAAATTTTAGAATAAGTTTAGATTTGTTCGAACTGGTCACCTTTGGCACGAATTGTGGCCTTCAAACGACCAATGAAACCGTCACACTCTGCCCGAATGTTGCTCTGCGGTATTTTGGCCCATTTCCATTTTTTTTTAATTTTATTGAATGAAAGCAAAAAATATCGGAAATATCATCAAATTTTAGAATAAGTTTAGATTTGTTCGAATTGGTCACCTTTGGCACGAATTATGGCCTTCAAACGACCAATGAAGCCGTCTCACGCTGCCCGAATGTTGCTCTGCGGTATTTTGACCCATTCCCGGCGAAGCGCTTGCTTGAGGTGATCTACACTTTGGTACTTTTTAGTGCCAACCTTGCTTTCCAAAAACTCCAGAGACAACAGCACAACGGTTTGGTATTCGGAGATTTTGGTGGCCCATGTGCGCTGGAAATGAAGCGAGGAACCTCTAATTTGTAACCATTCTTGGGTGGCGTGTGCGATGGTGCTGAGTCCTGTTGGAATGTCCAAGGTCTGCGGCCCAAATGTTTGCGTGCCCAAGGCTTTAATACACCCTCCAGAATATTTTCGTGATAATATTCGGAATTTATTCTGATGCCACGGTCGATTAATACGAGTGGTCGATTAATACGAATGGATTGGTATTCGGAGATTTTGGTGGCCATTGTCCGCTGGGAATGAGGCGAGGAACCTCATTTTGTAACCATTCGAGGGTGGCGCGTGCTGCTTTATGCGATGTTGCTGAGTCTTGTTGGAATGTCCAAGGTCTGCGGCCAAAGTATTTGCGTGCCCAAGGCCTTAATACACCCTACAGAATATTTTCGCAATAATATTGGGCATTTATTCTGATTCCACGGTCGATTAATACGAACGGATTGGTATCCAGAGATTTTGGTGGACATTGTGCGTTGGAAATGAAGCGAGGAACCTCATTTTGTAACCATTCTTGGGTGGCGCGTGCTGCTGTGTGCGATTGTGCTGGTGCTGAGTCCTGTTGGAATGTCCAAGGTCTGCGGCCAAAGTATTTGCGTGCCCAAGGCCTTAATACACCCTCCAGAATATTTTCGTGATAATATTCGGCATTTATTCTGATGCCACGGTCGATAAATACGAGCGGGGAGCGACCATCGGCTGTTATGGCGGCCCACACCATCCCCATGGCCGGCGCTTGAGTTCTGGTGGCCAACCGAAGGTGCACATTTGCAGCTGACCTCTTTGGCAAGTAAACACGACCATTTTCTTTGCTGGACAATGAATGTTTTCTCATCGGAGAACCAAATCAAACCAAATTTGGCAGTTCACCACTTTCGGTCAAGCGAAGCAACTCTTTAGCTCTTTTGAGTCTAAGTTCTTGCACTTTTTGGAATTTCAATGACTTTACTCCGAGCTCATTTTTCAATATTCGCCGAATGCAATATTGCGATATTTTCAGTTCACGAGCCATTTTTCGGCTACTACGACGCGGGTTTCGATCAAGTCGCTTCTTTACTTTTCGAACAATTTCTGCTGATGTTGCTGTTTTCTTCCGTCCACTTCCTTGAAGTCGGGCTACGCTACGCTAAGTATCACGGTAACGAGCGATGGTGCGAGACACAAAAGATTTATTCACATTTGAAGGCTGCAGTGCTTTAACGATAGCCACTTGATTTTGATGCCATGGTCGAATAATACGAACGGAAAGCGACCATCGGCTGTTGTGGCGGCCCAAACCATCACCATGGCCGTCGCTTGAGTTCTGGTGGCCAAACGAGAGTGCACATTTTCAGTGGACCTCTTTGGCAAGTAAACACGTTTGTTTCGGAGAAGCCAAATTCGGCAGTTCACCTCTTTCGGCCAAGCTAAGCAACTCTTTAGCCCTTTTGAGTCTACCTTCTTTCTGTTGCGGTGTAAGTTCCTGCACTTTTTGGAATTTCAATGGCTTTACCCCGAGCTAATTTGTCAATATTTGCCGAATGGAATATTGCGATATATTCAGCTCACGAGCTATTTTGCGGCCACTGCGATGCGGAGTTCGATCAAGTCGCTTCTTTACTTTTCGAACCATTTCTGCTGATGTTGCTGTTTTCTTCCGTCCAATTCCTTGACGTCGGGCTACGCTACGCTATCAGTATCACGGTAACGAGCGATGGTGCGAGACACAAAATTTATTTATTCACATTTAAATGCTGGAGTGATCTAACGATAGCCACTTGGGGTTTTCCAGCCAAATATAAAGAAATCACGCTTGAATTCCATCACGAATATCTTTTTTCTGGAAAATTCTTACCAAAATACTTTTGTACGCTTGTCAATAATATAATGAGCTGTCACTGGAATAATTTTAACAGTTGTCGGACGATTGGCTTAGAAATGACAGCAGTCTGAAGTTGGTTGCAGTTCTTATTCAAAATTTTTAGCTGCTATTGAAAATTTCAACATTCTAGGTACTTACAAGGTAAGTTATGGAAACCCACATAAGTATTTCAGGTAAGTTTGTAGGACATAATAAAGTATTCAAATATTTAAAAAAAAAAAACATTTTTGTACGCCAAGAAATCAAGAGTATATCCCTAAAAACTTCTCAACAACACTTTTTGAAACCCATTTTTTTAATAAACAATTTTTTTTTCTCATTCAGGCCCATGCCCGTCTATCGGAATCATCCCGCAAACTTGATCTCTTGTGTCATTCATTGGACTTGCGACGTCTTGAATTACCAGCCGAATCGGTGGCCGCTCAACAGCTGAAAAGTGAACTGCAATCGGTGCAGCAGGCCTCGTCGCCGGTGCCCTTCAACTACACCTCACTGCAGCCCTTCCATGCTGGTCTCTTGGGAGGTAAACCGTACCAACAGGTCTCCACACTGGGCCGATGTGCCAGTGTGACGGGCAAACTTGAAGTCCGCCTAATGGGTTGCCAAGGTCTGCTGGAGGATGTGCCCGGTCGTTCGCGCCGTGATAAAGACAACAACTCTAGTCCGGGTGATTTGCGTAGTTTCGTCAAGGGTGTCACCTCACGCAGCAGTTCGAAAAGCTACTCCGTCAAGGATGAGACCTCATCAGAAATAATGGCCGTCATCAAACTGGACAACATGACAGTGGCCCAAACCTCATGGAAGCCCTGTTCGCAACAAGCCTGGGATCAGCGATTCTCCATTGATCTAGACCGTTCCCGTGAATTGGAAATCGGCGTTTACTGGCGCGACTGGCGTTCATTGTGTGCTGTCAAATTCTTGCGTCTCGAAGAGTTCATTGACGATGTGCGACATGGCATGGCCCTGCAGCTGGAGCCACAGGGTCTGCTCTTTGCAGAGATTAAATTCTTGAATCCCATGATTTCACAGAAACCCAAACTAAGACGCCAGCAAATGATTTTCAACAAACAGCAGGTCAAGAACATACCACGTGCCAAGCAGATGAACATCAATGTGGCCACCTGGGGCAGATTGCTGAAGCGCAATGCACCCTCCAATACCATTTTGGCTGGGGGCAAAATGCCCGCCACCAACCGGGACAGTGAGTCGCCCATTTCACGTACCCCTTCGTCGGGCACCATCGATCAAGAACCCGAACCCTATTCACCTGGCATATTGGCTCAAAACATGCAATACGATGCCGAGGCAGGTAGTACCGAACACATTGAGACACCCGGTGAGTGTCCAGATCCTTCGGTATCTGGCCTAAGTGGTAAACGTCCATTGTCTATGCAAGGCATTGCCGCCCTGCCACCCGAGGTAACATCACCACCGCAACAAAAGAACACAGCTGCTGCCAATAATAATCTACACCTGACCATACCCGGGAAATTGACGCAGCTCAATCCCATACCTAAACCACCAACCAGTGCTGGTTCGAAACAAACAACACCCACAGATGTGGTGCCACCACCGGTGCCAGCCACATCACCACCTAAATTGGATCAAGAGGTAAGTCCACGAAGTGATTTTTATGTTTATTTGTATTCCATCAAAACTGTCATCTCTCGCTCCTCTCTCTGTCTCTCTTCACGCCGTCATAAGCATAAAAATTAAGCATGAGCTTGTTACAGCATACACCATTACTCTCTCGCTCTCTCTCTCCTGTCGTCTGTTGCTTTCTCGATCTCTGTACACTCATCCATTTCCGTTGCTTACATACACACTATCTCTCGCTCGCTTTCTCTTGCTCTTGTTCTATGGTTTCATCAAGTGCTCTCTATACTCTCTGCTGCTATCCTATACTTGCTCTCTTTCTATTCTATTTTTTTGTAAATATAAAAGGATTTGGGCGAAGTTGTTTTCTTTTTGTATAAAGTTGTAAATCCTGGTTGAGGGGAAAATACAGTGATTTCGTTTATTTGGAAAATAATTGAAAACTATTTTCCTTTTCGAAAATTGGACTTCGGCAACTCAACAAACTCTAAAGAGGGGAAGAGGTCTGAAACATTAAAAAAAAGTTTCTCAAATGGAGAAAACATTCTATCCCTAGGTGAGATTTTCCCTTCCAGTCTTCCATGGGAAGGCCTTCCGGTCATCTACGAAAAGACCTTCTGGTCATCAACGAAAAAATATTCTGGTCTGGTCCTCTATGAGAAACGGTTCCAGTCTTCTACGAGAAGATCTATAAGAAGATCTTCTGAAAGAAATCCTTCTGGTCTTCTACGAGAAGACCTCTCTGATCTTCTATGAGAAGACCTCTCTGGTCTTCTATGAGAAGACCTTCCCGTCTTCTATGAGAAGACCTTCCCGTCTTCTATGAGAAGACCTTCCAGCTCTTCTATGAGAAGACCTTCCAGCTCTTCTATGAGAAGACCTTCCAGCTCTTCTATGAGAAGACCTTCCAGCTCTTCTATGAGAAGACCTTCCAGCTCTTCTATGAGAGGACCTTCCAGCTCTTCTATGAGAAGACCTTCGGGTCTTCTGTGAGAAGAACTTCGGGTCTTCTATGAGCAGACCTTCGGGTCTTCTATTAGCAGACCTTCGGGTCTTCTATGAGCAGTCCTTCGGGTCTTCTATGAGAAGACCTTCGGCTCTTCTATGAGAAGGTCTCTCTGGTGTTTTTAGAAGACCTTCGGCTATTCTATGAGAAGACCTCTGGTCTTCTATGAGAAGACCTTCTCTGGTCTTCTATGAGAAGACCTTCTCTGGTCTTCTATGAGAAGACCTTCTCTGGTCTTCTATGAGAAGACCTTCTCTGGTCTTCTATGGGAAGACCTTCTCTGGTCTTCTATGGGAAGACCTTCGGGTCTTCTATGAGAAGACCTTCTGATCCTCTACGAGATGACCCTCTGGACTCCTATCAGAATACCTTCGGGTCTTCCGGGCCGACCTTCGTCTTCTACGAGAAGACTTTTATGGTCTTCCATGAAAAAACCTTCTCTCGTCTTTTATGGAAGACCTTCGGGTCTTCTGTGAGAGCACATTCTCGTCTTCTATGAGAAGTCCTTGCGGTCTTCTATGAAGAAGACCTTCTCTGGCCTTCTATAAGAAAACTTTCTCTGGCCTTCTATTTGAAGACCTTCTGGTCATATATGAGAAGACCTTCTCTGGCCATCTATGAGAAGACCTTCTCTGGCCTTCTATGAGAATACCTTCCCGTCTTCTATGAGAAGACCTTCCCGTCTTCTATGAGAAGACCTTCGGGTCTTCTATGAGAAGACTTTCGGGTCTTCTATGAGAAGACCTTCGGCTCTGCTATGAGCAGACCTTCTGCTCTTCTCTGAGCAGACCTTCTGCTCTTCTCTGAGCAGACCTTCTGCTCTTCTCTGAGCAGACCTTCTGCTCTTCTCTGAGCAGACCTTCTGCTCTTCTATGAGCAGACCTTATGCTCTTCTATGAGCAGACCTTCTGTTCATCTTTTAGAAGACCTTCTGCTCTTCTCTGAGCAGACCTTCTGCTCTTCTATGAGCAGACCTTATGCTCTTCTATGAGCAGACCTTCTGGTCATCTTTTAGAAGACCTTTTGATAATCTTTTAGAAGACCTTCTGGTCATCTATTAGAAGATCTTCTGGTCATCTATTAGGAGACCTTCAGGCCTTCTATTAGAAGAAAATCACTGCGTTTTTTCCTCCCTCATTTTATTGTAGCATATCTCTCTCCCATCTACTTCCATTTGGTGTTTTGATGTTCCGTAGAAAAAATTATTTAATCCAAACGTAAATTTTTATTTTTTTTTTTTTAATATTATGGTGGCTGGCTATTTAAATGTGATTTTAAAATCTGTTGTCAAATCAATGTTCATTCATTAAAATACAAAAAAAAAACATCTTATTCATATTCTGGTTGAGTTGTAGATGTTGCTATTATTATCATCCTTAAGCCAGCGTATTTTTGGCAATGGCCAAGAAAAATGCCTATTTGAAATTGAAATGCCTTATTGAGAAAACATTTAGGGTTTGGTTGGTAGCTCATACATGGAAATCATGCGAAATTTTCGAAAAAAACCAAAACTCTAGAGTGTCGAGTGTGTTTCATGGAAGTGGTAGTGCGAGGGGCTTTGTTGTTTCGCGCGCCAAAACATCATTGCAGGTCTTTTGGTGAGGATTTATTGTGGCGTATTTCTATTTATTATTTCTTCCTGCTTCCTTCTTTTTATTTTTTGTTTCTTCATTTTATGTTAAGTGTCATTGCGTTTTGTTTTGCGTTTTTCTTTCTTTTCCTTTTTTTTTCTATTTGTCTAATGTAATTTTTGTGTGATTTTTATTTTTTATTTTTTTTTTGCTATATTTTTATGAACTCTCTCTCCTCCATACATTATATCGTGCATTTTTATTTCTTCGGCGATTTTCTGCGATTTCGTTATCTACTCTACGCAAAATAAAATGTTTTTAAATTTCCAACGACTTGTCATGTTTTGCCTAATTTTCCCCCTTCTATTATTTTGAAACTATCCTCCCTTACCCTTTTCCATGTCATGATGAATCTTGTGTTTGTCTACCTAATTTTTCGCCACTATTTTTGTGTTAAATAAACGAATTTGTAATACCTAAATGAAAAAATCGAAAAATACATGGCCTAAAACCAGTTACAGAGCGCGTTGAGTGAGTTTGACTTTCTAAATCAATTGGATTCGCAACCCAATACTTTACAGCGTCCCCATCATCACAACCACAACCAACAGCAGCAGCAACAACAGCAAATGCGCTCTCCATTGCCAGCGCAACAACAGGCGCCTCCACAGCAGCAGCAGGCACAGCCGCCGCAACAACAACAACAACCACCGAAACCTCAGCAACAAATGTTGCAACATTACATTGCCTCAACCAAACATCAAGCGGTACAATATCAAAATGTTTTATTACCCACCCAAGCACAGATTCCCATGTTTGCATTTCAAGGCAGCGCAGGAACGGTGGCGGGAACTTCCTTGCCTACATCTTTGTCCCCTTCAACAACACCTGACACACCAACACCCACAACACTTTCATCAGCATCATCGTCATCTGTGTTTAATTCAGTTCCTTCATTGCAACACTCCTCATTACAACACCATTCGACCCACCCCAATGTTGTGCCGTCTTCCCAACATCATCATGAACACCAACAACAACAACAGACAATGGCAACATCCAACAACAACACCGCAATCGGCAATGCTAATAACAACAGCAACACCACCACCACCCCAACTACCTATTATGTTACCCGAACTGTTTCTCAAAATAAACCAACATTTAATATTCAACAGTCACAACCGCAACAACAACAGCAGTCACAACAACAAAACTCCCAGGAGCCTCCATCACCCGGCTCTGGCCTATATCACCGTCCAGTACTGACCATGCCGCCCGTTGTCATAATGGGTGGCGACGGTGGTGGCGGCGGCCATGACTTGGGCAGCCCCATCATTGAAATGCCCCCCTCCCCGGCACCCATTGTTGAATATCCAGATGACGAGGATTACAGCAATTATCATCGCCATTATAGCATAGGCGCTGCCGATGGTTTCCATGTTGAGGTTAGGAGTTTATAAACCAATTATTTTTTTATTTAGTTTTGTTTATTTTTTTAATTTATTTTACAACTTTTCTTTTTGGGTTTTGTTTTGGCTTCTTTACTTTATTCTTTCGCTAACAAAAATGCAAGAAAAAAGAGAAAACTTAAAGCAAATATTTTTTTAATTTTATTTATTTAATTTAAAAACTGCATAAATATAAAATTTTTGTCAAATGGACTTAGTCTTTTTTGCATTCCAACCATGTACGTAAAATATAATTCTCCCCTGTAGAGATTAAGTTGCAGAGAAAAGTAATTTGTTATACTGATATATTCCTCTCTCAAAAATACTCTCCTGAAAACAAAAATAACTGAGTTTTGCTTTTTCAAATTATTGATCTCTTAATCGAACCCCAGTCATAAGAGCATAGACATGACAGAGAATAAGAGACAGCAACGCCAACTAGCATACGTGCCAGCGCTGCTCAAAAAAAATATCTCTTTCCAGTCAAATTTCTCTTTGCTTATTTAAGTCAAGAACAAAACAGTATTAAGTCATTATTTTTACAAATATTTTTAATCCATTTGTTTTATAAATTATTTTAGCAAACATTCATGTTGGAATCCTAAAATATAAAGAAAAACAGAATTTCAATTTTCTCTTAAATTATCTCTTTTTTTCGGCTCATGTTTTAGAACACGGTTTTAAGCAGGGCTGATACGTGCCCATCTATGGATAAAAGAGATTTTTTTCTATTTCATATATAGCAATAGTGCTCATAATATATACATTTGAAGCAGTAAGAGAATCTCTGGCCATTCCTTATCGAGAAAGAATACGTGTGATTTTTTGTCATGGCAGCGTAAAAAGTAGATCAGCTATGGTCTATAGCAGGGCAGAAAGTCGCCCTTTTACATTCTCCTAATATTGTTACTCTCTGATTACATTGTTTTTTTAGGGATGTGTGTGGAGCAAATTAAGCTCACTAAAAGCACGAAATTGCCTGACTCTGATTCTGATCTATAATACGGTCGAGCAGAGAATCGAATTACTGTGTCCTCTTAATTTCGTTACTCGCTGATTACATTGTTTTTCAGTGGCAGTGGCACACGCTCAATTGACGTTCGGTGAAATCACGGGGGCTGCACTTACTTGGTTCTGATATATAATCATGACATGATATAGGTCTCCCCATTTTTTTTTTTAATTAACTTGGCATATTTTTGAATTGAGCAATACATGGTCCTTATGTGTACCACAATATAAGTTAGACAACAATAACTTGAATTTTTTCTCCCTTTCCAAATCTCTCTCTCTCTCTCTTGAGGCACAGTCGAACGAAAGTTGGGTTTCCCAATTCGGTTACTCTCCCAACTTTAACATTCACATAATATTATATCTTGCAATCGTTCTTTTTCCTGTCACATTGAGAAGTATTTTTTTTTTTCATTTTTTTTTGCCAAAAATAACAGTATTGCACACTATGCGTTTTTTGCACTTTTGGCGATTTTATCGTTAAAATCGATTTTAACGAATTGAAGGCAAGGAAATTATTTATGAAGGCAAATGCTTGTAATATGACTAAAAAAAAATTCCAAAGAACGGCCCTTGTAAGCCATCATCTACACCAAATATGCCTGATGAGCCGCTTAAACAACGGAGAAACGCGTCGCATAGTGGTAAGTGTGTGATAGTGTCTATCTGGCTTTCCTTTTCACTGCAAATCTCCGATCGTCTCGAAAACGAATTAAACATAAAAAAATGTTGCCCATTCTGCATGTCTCTCCTGAAACTCTCGGATAGAACGAGGCTTCCTTAACATAAAGAGAATTTTCATTTGAACTATTTCAAACATTCTTTTTCTTCTTCCCGTTCGAAAAATATTTGTTTTGCCAAAAAATTGGCAGTGATGCATACTATGCGTTTTTATGTATTTTTAGCGTTTTTTGACTAAAATATATTATAAAGTGAAGAATGTAAATAAACATTTCAGGAGTACAAGAACTTATAAGAAAACTATAAACTGGAATATTCTGTCTTCGAAAATATCTCCCTGAGAATCCGGAAAAGTCTCTCAACTGAGCTCTTCCAAGAAAAATATTTTTTTTTATGTTTTTCTGATACAATCGCTTTTTCTCTGTGTTATTTTCGTTGGGAAAATATTTTTTTGCCAAAAATCTGCAGTGTTGCGTTTTATGAGTTTTTTGCAATTCTGGCGTTTTTCATTACAGTCGATTTGAAAGCAAAAAATTCAATAAAACATTAGGTTATACAGGAACTCGTAATGTTAAAATAAACTGTCATTTTATCCGTTTTAAAATAGCTCTCATGACACTCATAGAAAGAGAGAGCCCTCGAGTTCGGCTACGAAATCCTTTTAAAATACAAAAAAAATGTATTTTATCTATTCCAATTGATTTTTAACCACTTCATTTGTTAGGAAAAATATGTTTTATGCCAAATGATGCATATTATGCGTTTTTACACCTTTGGCGTTTTTTTTTCCGAAATTGATTTTATGGCATCAAATGACAAAAATACCGTACAAGAATAATAAACGTAATAAACGGACTTTTTCTTTCAAAATATCACCTAAGACTTTGTTAAACTGAGATTTAGTTATCAAATCCGGGTGTAAAACGCAAAAAAAAGCATCACTGAGTGATTTGTTTATATTGAAATATAACCTATCCAACAATGAGATTTTTGGGATTTTTTTAGATTTAGCGATTTAGGTCGGAGCAATAACTTCGTACAAGGACTTGTCGGTTATTAATAAACTGACATTTTCTTTATTTTAGATAGATTTAGGTCTCTTATGCGGTTGACATCTCAACACCAAAAAGGCGAAAATTTAGCATTTTATCTTTTTTTATTTTTATTTGTTTAATCTCTGGGTTTAATTTCGTTTCTAAAATATTTTTTTGTAAAAAAAACGCAGTGATGCTTATTATGCGTTTTTTGAACTTTTGGCGTTTTTCCCAAAATTAATGTTACAGCATCAAATGCAAGGCAAGAAATTCGTAAAATAACTTTTAAGGTTTTAATTAAAAAAAAATCTCCCTTCTTAGACCTAGTTAAACTGAGATTTTTTTTGATTGTAAAAAACGCAAAATATGCATCACTGAGTGACTAATTGATATTGAAATAAAACCTATACAACGTATGGCATTGTCAATTACTTCCTACAAAAAAACCTATGAGAGAGACATCGTTTTTAGGATAAATCTCTATTTTGGATTCTCGAAACTTGAGAGAAAGATGGCGCTTGTATATTGTCAATACGAATACGCAAAAATCTCAACACCGTAGGAGAAATAAATAATGGCTTTATTCTTTTTTTTAATTTATATTAAAAATAAGTTATAAACTTTTATATATATTTTTTTTTAATTCTTTAGTTACATTTTTTATATATTTGCTTTAAGTTTTCTCCCCTTGGCTTTTTGTTGAACACTTCCTAACACCAATTAACCCCCCTGGACCTTAGAGTATCTACTACCTACCTATGTTACAAACAAAATTTAACCACTCAACGTTTGATGTGTTCTGTTCTAAAATCAAATATTCTCGTTTTGATGTTTTAAATTTAATGCTTTACTTGTGCCACAAGAGCTTTAGCCATTAATTGTTTATTTTATTTTAAACATAAAATTTAGGTGTTTAAATAAATTTGTTATTTTTTTACAATATAAAATGTATTTGTTAAGCTGGTTTAATCCATGTTTTTTTTTTACGCCTTCCCTACCCAATGTTATCGACCTTTTTTAGTTCAAACATTTATCCATCCATCCGATTCGATCCACTCAAAACCATCGAATAAAAACATTTTTGTATAAAACCAATATTTACAGCTAAATATTTTATGTTTTTTTTGTGTCGTTTCTGTCGTTCTTTTTGTTTGTTTGTTTATATACCCTACTTGTTGTGTTTTTCTTTCCTTTATTTTGTTCTAATTTTAAACGAAAATATTCTGTTTTTTTCTTTATTTTTTGTTTTTTTATTTTTTTGTTTTTGTAAGGTTTCCATGGTAAATATATATATTGTGTATGTAAATGTGTTGTATACCACCTCCCACCACCCCCATAATGCATATTACAATATTACCCAAGCACTTTTTTCTTTTCTGGTTAATAATCCACGTACCTCTACAACAATTACTACAACATATCTATACACACACACTGAAATGTATACTACTATTATTTTCATTTATTCATTATACACTACAACAACACATTTTGTAACTTCATTTACTGTAATAACGAAATGTTTTTTTATTTGTTTTAAATTATTTCTGTTGAAAAGGGAGATTATGGGGTTGTTCATCTTTAGGAAGATACGAAAGTGGTTACAAATACCTTTTTCAAATTTTCGATTTAAAAAATCAAAATTTGAAAAAACAGTTTGGGCATGTGTTTTTTCGTATTTACTTTTAATTTTTTCCTACAGAAACAGCTTCCAAATTGTTCAGTAAATAATAGAACTTAATATGATTATTATATCTCTATATTTTAATTTTTTTTAAACATTAACAGTTGGCATCACTGGTATCTCTAATTTCATATTATTTTGCTTCATAATCGATAAGTAGGCTAGGAAATTTTCATATAATTTTTGAAAGAGAGGAGAGGAATCTGAAGTATTTCTCTCTCTCTTTGTGCTATAATTTCTCAAATGAAACCTGTGTGGCGTATAAGTGATTGCATTGCACATATTTGCTGGCTACTAGGGCGTATGAGTATGGACGTCTATTATACGTCTTTGACAAGGATTAAAATCAGTTACACATAAATTTCAGAAGAGTTATTATTCAAAAATCGACTTTTCGGCGGAGGGTACGAGAAATTGTGGCCAAATATAAAAATAAGGAATGGATGTATAAATTCCATATTCTCATCAGATCTCTGGCTGTGAGAAATAATTAGATGTAACAAGTTTGAAAAGAATCGCTGACTTGTTTCAAAAGTAATTAGACATATAAGTATTGAAGGATTGTGATCCTTTGTGGGGGAGGTACC